GGAGGCCGGGGTGTAAGGATGAGAGTGGCACCTGCTAATGGCCTGGTAATACACACCTGGGCAATGTGCCCACATGTCAAAGATGCTAGTTGAGTAAAAGCAGATAAATCCCGGGTAATGCCACCCTCAGCCCCAGCTGTCTGTAGGGAAGCTTGCACTCAAAAGCCTTTCTCCAGAGATGGCAGCGATGCTTTATACCTGGGTGACTTTGGGAAGCTCTCGCTGCCACTGTCTTGGGTGGCATCTGATGCCATCTCTAGCTTCTGGTTTAGAAGAGCCAGATATGGCTGGTCCTTGACTTACGACCATTAGTTTAAAGACTGTTCCATGAGCCCAAGACGCTGCAAACACATGAGTCAGTTGCCAAGCATCTGAATTTTGATTATATGACCCTGGGGACGGCTTCAACACTCCTAAGTGTGAAAAAAATGGTCATAGGTGACTTTTCACTCACCTTGTAACTTTGAACGGTCACTAACTGAACTGTTGTAAATTGAGGACTTCCTGTACAGCACTGGAAAATGGACCATTTGTTACACTTCCCGAGCCGCAAATTTCCATTGCTAAGCCAGGCAATGGCTGAGGGAGATTGGCCTCGCTTTACGACCTTTCTTGCTGCAGTTCTTAAGCCAATCACTGTGGTCGTTAAGTTAGTCACATGGTGGTTAAGTGAATCTGGCTTCCCCAATGACTTTGCTTGTCAGAAGGTCGCGAAAGGGGATCATGTGGCCCCGGGACACTGCAACTGTCATAAGCATGAGTCAGTTGCCAAGTGTCTGACTTTGAATCGTGTGACCATCAGGATGCTGCAATGGTCGTAAGTGTGGGAAACGGCCGTAAGTCACTTTTTCAGTCCCCTTCTAACTTTGAACGGTCACTAAACGGATGGGTCGTAAGTCGAGGAACACCTGTATTCAGGATTTTATAAATTGGGAGTAGCAGCCTTTGGGCATGAGAAGAGTTTCAATGGCTCCCATAATGAATCTGGCCAGCAATGAAAGATTCATTGTGATGGAGGCAAATTGCAACACACATAGACCCAAACAACACATCCGCCACAAACACAACCCCCAGGTTCCACTTTATGGACTAAAAAGACTTTACCAAAGGAAAGAAGGGTAGAGAACTGAATGCCCATAAGGAGTATTTGGACCCTCTGATGCCCAGGGGCATCATGTAGCCCTTCCCCTTGGACAATGTCCAGCCATGTGCGGCGCAGCAGCCAAAATAGTGAATATGATCCTTGCTTGCATGGAAGCACGGAATCAAAATCACCTGAAGGATTAGTACCGCTTTGTAACGCCTTAGTAAAGCCACACCTGGAGTATTCTGCATCCCGTTCTGGTCACCACCTTACTTTGGAAAAAGTTCAGAGAAGAGCAACTAAGGCAGGGATGGAAGTCGCCTATACCCACGATGGGTGAAGAGGC